TCAATATCAATTATTCCGAGGATCGTGGATGATACAATCCACAAGATGATTCTTTGTACCTCTTCTTGGCTCTTTCTATTCCTATACTCTCGATTGAATCGGTTGTTTCTCTTAGCCCTGCCGTATCTCCAAGTATTAACGGGTAGCCACCAATATTCATCGAGACTTCCACGACGTCACGTGTCGTCCCAGGAACCGGAGATACTATAGCTGCCTCTCGGCAAGCTAAAATAAAAGACGACGATAAAGAGATCTGATGCCTATACATAAGAACGACAGAGCAACTGGTAGACTGCATCATGTTATTACATACTTAAGCAATTCAAAAAGCTGCTCTTGCCGGCATTGGGGGGCCCCATAATCGCCACATGTATTCCATTGCGTAATATTTCTCCTCGTCTGTAGTCATGCATATGGTTTCTGATTGATTCTGCAATCTTGTAGGTATCCCTTGTGACTTTGATGAACGTGAGTTCCCTTCGGGCTGGTTTGAATTGGAATGTCCAGACAAGTATAATGGTAGTCGTGCAGTTACCTTGATCCATGATTCCTTCTTCAAGGTGTTCATCTTCACCAAAATCAATAATTGCCTCGACAAGCGCCATGTTCTGAACAAGTTCTTTACGCCATCCAGAATATAGTTTTTTTAATCCTCCCTAAAGCCCGGACGTGTAAAAGAGAATGAACTTATGTGTGTTTTAAATGGTAAAGCATCTTTCATGCGCATAGTTTATCTCGTTTACCTGTGCTTGTTGTAAGGCTAACCGTCTTTGTGCCTCAGTTTCTGCATTAATTAGATCAGCCAACCCTTCTATCTCGGTGAGATCTAGCTTATCATTGTCGAACGCTCTAATTATTATTAAATGCTGATTATAGATCAGCAGTAACGTATCGCATTAGGAATAAGCTTCTATAATTCGATACTGATGTAATATAACCTTCTGGTAAATTCTCCTCTGTCTGCATATCTGAATCCTTCAAGAGACCCGAGTGCGTCAAAAACACCTTTTATAACTGCTGATCCTCCATGAACATGAAATTCTGCCACATCTTCACCAGTGTAACTATGCGGACCTATGTTCAAATACATGAACTTGACAACTTGTGAGAATTTAATTACAGATACACTGTAGAGACAAATGCAAACATAAACATAAACATAAACCTGGAAACCATAAAGTAAGACCGTGGTCTAGCATTTCTCTATTAATAGGATGATACATTGTATGAAATATGGCTCTCCTGGGTGCCAGATCCTTGGCTGATGTCATTTTTCTTATGGCCTACACAGAACTTGGGTTATAAACTTAATTGCATTGCTTTACACAATAAAATCATTGTTAATTACTTCTCCTGCCTTCGGTCCGGATACTCTGATGACAGCAATACCCGCTCTTCCCGACCCAGATGATAAGGCAAAGATCGTATCGTGTTCTTTCGGTAATATTACAGTTGAGAAGCATGAGTTTACAATAAGTCTTTTTGAAAGCTTGTTATTCAGGTGATCAGCAACACGTATGAACATGATCGAATGCAACGAACTTCTCTTCACGTAACACCAAAATACGTGAGCTTGGAGCCAATCGCTTCGCACGTTAGTTAGTATTAAGATTATAAAAACCCTGCAATAAAAATCGATGTCATTATAAACTTAGTAGTTAACACACGACATTGTAATATTGACAATACCACAGAAAAACTACACGAAATTATAAAATTTATTGGTTACTCATAATTATCTTAATACCTCATAATTACAGTAAGGCACAACCGAGTAAAAGACATAAATTTATTATAAATGCGTCGTCGGTATACAAGACAGACTTCTAAAATTTTATATAGAACATGATTTTTATATATCGTAAACGCGATTTTTTGCGCATCATGGCAAATTGCATCATATTTTGGCACTATATCGTAAGCTTTTATCTAACAATCCACATTCTGTGAAGAATTTCAATGGTTGTATGCCAAATAATGATGTGGCAACAATAACATATCTCTATGACGTTGGAAACAAAAATTAATTCTATAAATTGATAACTACAAACTGCTTTCAGTAAATATTATTGAATAACAAATGTATGAAATCAAGTTTCTTGCTGAAGAAGCGAATGAAGACGAGAAAATACACAAGGCCGTCATCAAATTGAGATTTGCGCAATGGTAAAAATAGGGATATTCATAAAGGGATACGTCAAGTATCTATTGCTTGCATTTTACGTTGTTCCTTTTCCCACTTACAGAGTGTCTCCTTCCCCCAATGTGAGGGGGATTATACAAACTTCGATCGCGAAAGTCACATGACCAAATTGTAACGGTATGTCGGGGGTAACAGCATATTTGGTTGTTCGCAGTGGGGTTTTTTATTTAACAAATGCGCATTGAGATTCGCAAGTTTCTTGGCAAAGGAAAGGCCATATTGCTGTCTCAAGATAAGAAAATTTATTTCGTAATTTACAGAGGCAAGACTGTAATTATTGTATCCTTGTGGCGCCTAAGATTAACCCTGGGAAACGACTGTGGCGTCTACGTTGAAGTAACCAAACACCCCCGTAAAGACGAGTAACGTGACATGTCCTCTGACTTGCAAATAATAATGCAACGTGATGTAATCATGACAACCGGGCATAGTCGAGATATTGTTCCAATCTCGATTACGAATAATACAACAATTAAAAAATGGTTGATGATTAATCCATGTTTCCATACTCATTCTATGCATCTTGACTAATTGAGAAACAAAAAAATTTTTTATCGAAAAAATTTTTGCGTTGTACAGATTTTCGTTGTTGACTTTTCGTTGTGGAGGTCACACAAATTGATTAAAGTTGCGTGTTACGATATTAATATTCACTTCATATAAAAAAAATATGCAACAGAAAAGTCTTGCATAAACTGACTGATAATAATAAAAAAGCGCATGACTGAGCCCAAAATATATACAATTTCCATATGTAGTTATCGTAACACAAAGTAAAGTAAAAGGAGAAAAAAAAAAAAAGGAGGAAAAAAAAAAAGCCAACTTTATCAAAATCCAATCATTAACCATAAGCCACCGTTACCACCCCCCATCGACCACCCCCATCCCCATCCACCATTTATAACGTTCTCTTCTTATTCCCTTTCCCACTCTAGTCCAACTCAAACGCCCCAACGCCCACATACACCCCCAAACTCTTAAACCCCCTTCCCTCTTTCGCGACTACATAACTCTTGACAATGAAAGGTTACAACAAGTATGATCACGAAGCAAAACTCACCTGCTATCAACCCCCTTCGTCACCTCAACTACATACTTATTCAACCGACCATACTGTAGTCACGCCGTCTAGCCAGTCCGCCTTTAAAGAAAAGACTCAACACATAACCAAAGGTGCTACCCAGCTAAGCACACAACCTGTCGTCGAGAAACCGTTCAAGTGTACCGTACCCGGCTGTTCCAAATCGTACAAGAATCTAAATGGATTAAAGTATCATAACGAACATGGGCATCGCTCTGGTCTATTGGATATCGATGAGAAGAGGCCTGTGCTCAAGCCGTACAAGTGCGAATTTCCTGACTGTGACAAAAGATACAAAAACCCAAACGGATTGAAGTACCATTTAGAGCATGCACATCAGAGCTTTGTGCGAAGAGATTAGTCAAGCAAATACTCTTCGTAGAGGGAGCAACTAGACATACCCAAAGAGATGAAAACGTATTATTCGCTAAAGGGACTGGCTGTGAGTTAAAACTGAAAAAGAGGTAAAAAACAAATAATCTTCAATAGGGTTTATATAGCGACATAGACTGACATAGAAAGGATATGTAAAGGGATAGGTGTATAACATATACATATTTACTTTGGAATGGACTTGTTTCGATCGAAGGATGTTGGGAGTGTACGATCCAGAATCATTCAGCAGTGAAGACACTACAACTACTGATAGTAATATATACAAATGCGTATATACATTTATATTTACATTAATCGGGACTCTGTCAAAGACATCTCGGACGAACCAAGTCAACACTCTGGATTGTATCCAATTGTCGATTACGTACTATACTATCTGCTTTACTTAACATATTGGTTTTCCTGTTTGTAGAATTTTAGTTTATATGTTGTTGTTTTGTTATCATAAATTTGTACATTCTGTGTTTTTAAAACGAAAATATAAAGTGAAAGTATTCAAATAACAAAAACGTGTGATGGGTATGTAATTAGTATTTAATAAGTAATGTTAATGTTGGCAGTAATAAAATCAACAATAAAGGTATTAATGGTTGCAGTTGCAGTAAGTAGAATGCCAACGTTAAAATTATTATTATTATTATTGTTATTATTATTGTTATAGTAACGGGGATCAAAAAGTAGCAACAGAGGCAAGTATCCGAACCATAGTAATAGTAAAAAATCAATATTTACACGCTAAGGCAAGCATGGTCGGCCCATTAAAACGGCCGAGCAAGTTGTAATATATCTGGCTAAGTGTTGTAATGTAATAACGTATCCCAATTCAGGTATGTGTAACAATATAATCACATGATATGTTAAAAATCAAATGTATAATGTTAATACTATCACCCCTCTAAATATAAAGGCTTCTTCTACCAAGTATATATAATAACATGTAATTGCAAAAACTCTCCCCGCTTCACGAAAAAGAAAATAATTAATTAAATTAATACACAATCTTGCTAAATCAATATTAATTATACACCACGATTCCATGATCAAGTAGTATTTTAATCATAATCATGACCATAATAAACATCATACTCGTAATCAACATTATAATTTACATTATAACTATGTTTGTTGATATCGACGGGCGTTGTGGGCAAGTCTTCCTCTTTCTCGTTGGTATTCACTTCGTCAGCAACTATAGTAAATGAAAACAATAACGGTAAATAATTGTTTCAAATACACAATCACATTGCATCCGTCCGTACTGACCTACTCCCGTGTATAATGTTTCATTGTCATGCTCATCGGATGAACTCTTCGAGTCCTCTTCTATTACGGAAACATCAGCAAGAGTATGTAGTGTCAATAACAAGACGTTTACAACGTGCTGAATATTAACATATACATAGTGATGGTCAGCTGAAATGGGTACTTACCGATCCTTGTTTGCTCGCTGTTGGTCCCATTGATTTCCACGTCATCGTAGAATATTTCGGGGAAGCTCAACAATCTGCTACCATAGCTTGCTTTTGGGTGTTTATCATCGTTCATGTCTTCACTCACATTATGGTATTTCCTGAAATCTTCCGCTTCCCAGAACTGTTTCCCAATTTCGCTTCCCGGAACAAACATCATCTGGTTAAACCAAATGCCCACTATAGAATATACTTCGGACGAAGTTGGTCTTTCCCCAGGATCATCATTCCAGCATCTTTCCATAAACTCTTGATAACATTCGGGTATCCCGTTTATGACTTTGGGTTTTATTCTGTTGCGAATGTCTATTGATAATTGCATATCATGTGCTCGGTTGTGAAATGGTGGTCTGCCTGATGCTAGTTGCCACATTAGCATTCCTAAACTGTAAACGTCCGCTGCAGCTGTGTATGTGCTTCCTCGTAATACTTCAGGTGCAACAAAAGGTAATACACCATAGACATTCTTTGTATCCGAACATTCGTATGCCGGAATACATAGCCCTACATCAGCAATCATAGGTGGTCCTAGTCCCATTAGTATATTACCGCCATGGAGATTTTGATGAAAAATATTCTTTTCGTGGAGGTTGAATACTGCTGCCGACAAGGAATGCAAAATGGCAAGCCTACGTTCCCAAGTGATGTCTGCGTGGTGTTTGTCGAGATACTGATTTAAATTGCCATGCTCGCAATAGTCTATTATTAACAAGTAATTTTTGGTTACTGGATTAAAAGTTAATCCGAAGCATTGAAGGATGTTTGACCCAGTGGTATTACAACTTGCGTATTGTTCGATCTGAAATAGAGTTTGTCATTAAGGGTTAGCGACCAGTCCGGTTAGATGAAAGAAAAAGGAGCATCAGGATCAAAGTAGGGAACATTGGTGCGAACGAAAAGCTAGCACAATCAGTAATACCACAAGACACCTCCCCTCGCAATTAACACAAATCTGATCCATTTCGTTGCCACCCCCACACTACTTACTTTTCTAATATAATCGTCTGTCATGTTGGTAGAATCATTTAGTTCTTTGAGCGCAATCGTTATATCGTTATCTCTCATCCACTCTCCGAGATCCTGGTTGTATTTTATTCTGGGTCCAGTTTTCCAGATCGCAGTGTACAGTTTTCCCAACTCACTTTCAACGACCAACTGAACATCTTCAAATTCGTCATAGTTTACCCATTCTAGATAATTCAGTTCATCCGCAGCGTTCAATTGACTCTTTCTAATCATTTCATCAATAACTTCGTTTCCACTGCTCCATTTACCAAATTCAGCCTGAAAAGCCAATGATTCACAATAATTACACCACCACTGTGACGTCTTGGGATAATAACACTTGCGACATATGCCATATGGTATCTCGTTAGATGCGTCACCTTGTGCTGGTTGACTGTGTGAGGTGGATTCACAATCAGTGTCACTTTCAATAACGGGAGGAGGAAATTCCTGACATTGCTCACACCACTTTGGGCGTTTTTGTGGTTTTTGACAGAAAGGACAGAGATCTGGCGGCGGCTCTGTACCTGTGGAAGGGGCATTCTGACGGAGGTTGGGTAATGAGCGACTGTTTTTAACCCTTGGAACGCGGGAAACTTTGTGTCTCTGTTTGCGTGAGGAGAAAATATTTTTTAGGAAGCCTTGTACTCGCCCTTTACTCGACATGGAGATTAATATTATATTATAATGTACAATGTATATGTAGGTTTGCGCGACAAACGAGGAGGGGTTATTACTATATGGTTTGTAAAGGTTTCTTCTCCTCTACTATGATATTACAATAGATCATATTCCAAAAAGTTCTCTTGGGGATATTAGTTAACCGGTGGATATTACTTAACCGTTGATCTAGGCAAAAACGCTATTTGAGTTCTAATTGGTTGCTTGTTCAGTTAAAAGTGCTGAGCATAGCATGAACTCTAAATACAGGAGCAACATCCGAAATTACACCTTAAAATTGATGTTCGTAATATCGGAATCGGAAGATACCTTCACATTGATCAATTAGTCTATAAACCGCAAATCTGACGAAGTCTCGGTATTTTCAGTCGTCGATGTATATCAGGGACCATTGTCAATAACGCAAAAGGCCTCGTTTTGTCGTCAGTATCTTGATCACGTGGCCGTAGAGCTATTCTTTTTCGCATTGATCACAAGTTACTTTGTTTCTTGGCATATAGTGTGACTACACACCACACATCAACAAGGGGCGTGCTGGCTGCTAATCTCTTAAAATGGAAGTAATATCCGGCATTGAAGTGAAACTAGAAAAGCACTTTTACGGTGTTGTTTGGTCGCAAATGTGGAGGATATTAATATTGATAATTAATAAATGCCCTCTGTAAGCGTCGATCATATGTACCTGGAAGATAACCGTTTTCCAACCGTATGATCAAACTTAATTAATATACTCACAACCTCTTATGACGCTCATCATAATAAATCTTTTATCACAACCAAATTTACTCTTTCCAAAAGAAACGTACTAAACTATTGACATTAATGCCATAACAGTCATGCAATGGCAATTTTCATGTGGTAGAAAGGTGTGTTTAAAACATTTGGGCTATGATCTACTGTACATATTTATGTTCATATGAACTAAGATTTAGTGGCACGGCTAATATTTTCTAACCACTTTCATGACATTTTCTGACATAGTGTCTTTGTTTTCTACCTGATTCTTCCGACAGATATCCAGTGTCATCTACCTCAGCCTGCTGCAGTTCACGAAAAAGTAGGTAACTTACCCGGCGAACCCGAATTATGCGATGTTGACACTTGTACGGCATCGTAGAAAATGTCCTTTATTGTCATCACTGCATTCCTTCTTTCCTTTATGCCACAATTTTGTCTTTATCAATATCTCGAACATCAATAAAAGTACTTTGCGACTAAGATATTAATTACCTGTGGATTGGAATATGGAACGTGATTTTGTGCTCAATCGTAACTGTAATGAGCAATAACATCAATACTACAGCAATCAGCTTACTCTTGCATTCCTCTTTCCTTTATCCATATCAGAAACCTCCTCTTTGGTAGACATTAAACGATTCGTAACTGCATTACTGATTGCATCGTGCTCCTCGTAAACGTCATATTCGATATGAGCCTTGTGCATTAGGGCTCTTCTCTCTGTTCGTTGGACGCGTTCATTGTGTTTGCGCGCGTTACGCAAGTGCATCTTGACTTCGACGTCGCTCCAATATCCAAATGGGATGTAGTCTAAAGCAATAATTAAATCCCCATGAGCCCGGATTGTACTTAACAGACAAGATCCGGCAGTCTTCCTTGTGTCAAAATTTTTTTGTAGACTCGTCGATATTACGGACTAAAACGCTGGTCCCGATTTGACGTGTTGTTGCGCAACGCAAAATGCGTGTACTGCGCATCACCAAAACCTAGATAGCACGAAGGGGAGCAAACACCCCGCATGGCGGAAAATGGCTAGTCTCTATGGACATAAAGAAGTCGATAAAATCATATGGAACTTTTCCATAGTCGAGGCGGCGGTGAAATTTTGACGCATTATTTTTTTCTCTTTTTTAAGGGTAGTGCGTAATCACGTGGATAGACACAGACGATCACGACACTTAGGCTTTATTTGAGTCACTCACGGTTCCTATCGTGGGATTAGTTCGATAGTCTCCCGGTTGGGGTACACTGTGTTTCGCTTATAAAATATTAATGCGCATCAATATAACAATTAATTGTCGTATTTGCCACTCGAATAGTCGCGGGACAAGAAGCGATTAGTGATGCAAGCTGATCAGATAATAATAAGTAAGTCACATGGTAAAATCTTCCTCCGCAGTCAAACAACCCCATGGTTAAATTAGTAGCGGCGTCTCGAAAAATCCACAACAAGCGCAGTAATAGCGGCGTTTCGAAAAACTCGCAACAAGCGCAGTAATAGTAAACGTTTCGAAAATTTCGCAACGGCACAAAAATTACAATAATTAGAACTAGCTAAAAAGAGCATTACGCTTTTCCGCAACGCTCGAAGGTGCATAAGTAGCTCATATTCCATCGTTAAATCTTCATGTTATCAAAGTCATCATGTCTTGAAAACATCAAAAAGTTCGAATAATGTTGTGAAATAAATAATACGACTGATCTTAGTAGATTCTCTCGAATCCTTTATTATAAATATCCAGTTAATTTCTATCGTCGAAATAATTGATTATTCGACCGGGCATTCCACTAAACGGAAGCTGTAAAGGAACAGAAAGAGCCAAGAAGAGGTACAAAGAATCATCTTGTGGATTGTATCATCCACGATCCTCGGAATAATTGATATTGA